TTTACTTGGGATAGGGTCTTGCTATCGCCCAGGCTGGAGTACAGTGGCACAATCTTGGCTCACTGCAACCTCTGCCTCCCTAGTTCAAGTAATCCTCCTGCCTCAGCTTCCCGAGTAGGTGGGCTTACAGGCATGCACCGCCATGCCTGGATAATTTTTATATTTTTGGTAAACATGGGGTTTCACCATCATGGCCAGGCTGGTCTCAAACTCCTCATCTCAAGCAGTTCACCCACTTCGGCTTCCCAAAGTGCTGGGATTACAGGCATGAGCCACTGCACCCAACCTTCTGAATTTTATATTAACTTTATCTCAAAATAAAAAAGAACAGAGCTACCAGACACTTCTGTGGCCCCATTAGGAAGCAGTGTCCGGAACACTCTCTGTAGGACAGCTTTTGATTCTGAATTGTTCTGTCAGTTTCTATAGCAGTAGTTACTGCCTGAGGAGGAGTTCTGTCCTGTTCATCACTCTATTCATAGTGATCTTCCGCTTCTAGATTCCTTGGGATACAATTCCTTGGTTAATTCATGCCCTTGGGTTCTACCATTGTCCCCATACATAGTCCAGGAGTTCAGGATTACAGTGAGCTATGATTGCAACACTGCACTCCAGCCTGGGTGGCAGAGCAATTCCCTGTCTCTAAAAAAGAAAGAAAAACTTATATAAGACAAGAAAAATATACAGAAGTCTATATATACATAGCTGGGAGCAGTGGTTCATGTCTGTAATCGCAGTACTTTAGGAGTCTAAGGCAGGCAGATCACTTGAGGTCAGGCGTTCCAGACCAGCCTTGCTAACATGGTGAAACCCTATCTTTACTAAAATTACAAAAATTAGCCAGGTGTGGTGGCAGGTGCCATTGCATGATCTAGGAGCCTGGGTGACAGAACAAGACTCTGTCACCAAAAAAAAAAAAAAGGAAGAAAAAGAAATATAGCACTTGGACAGGCGTGGTGGCTCGCACTGGTAATCCCAGCACTTTGAGAGGCCAGGATGGATTGGGCCTTGTGGCGCATGCCTATAGTCCCACCTTCTTGGGAGGCTGAGGCAGGAGACTTGCTTAAGCCCAGGAGGTAGAGGTTGCAGTAAGGGTAGATCACACTGCTGCACTCCAACTTGGGCAACAGAGTGAGACTCTCTCAAAAAAAAAAATAGAAAAAAGATATATAGCACTTAAAGCAATTTTGTACTGGAACGTGACTAGGTAGAATAATCATAGACCCAAATACATCCAAGGATTTAGTCTGTATTGAAAGTATCATCTAAGATTAGTGGAGAAACATGGTTGATTAAAAAAATGTTGGATAACTGGGTAACCATTTTAAAAAAACGTAAGTGTGGCTCCCCTACTTCACTTTCCTTTGCTAGATAAATTCCAAGTGGATCATAAATTTAAACATAAAAATGCAACTGTAGAAGTAATCTACTTCAATTTGAGATTAAAAAAAAAAAAAAACTTCTGACCTGGTACAGTAGCTGACCCCTATAATGCCAACACTTAGGGGGGCCCAGGCAGGTGGATCACTTGCAGCCAGGAGTTTGAGACCAGCCTCACCAACCTGGTGAAACCCCATCTCTGCTAAAAATACAAAAATTGGCCAGGCATGGTGGTGTGTGCCTATAGCCCCAGCTACTCAGGAGGCTGAGGCAGGAGAATTCCTTGGATTCAGGAGGCGGAAGTTACAGTGAGCTGAGATCATGCCACTGCACTCCAGCCTGGGCAACACAAGAGGAGACTCCATCTCAAAAAACAAACAACATCCTAAGTATGACTTAAATCCCAGAGCTTTTTAAATTTTTTTTTTTTGAAACGGAGTTTTGCTCTTATTGCCCAGGCTGGAATGCAATGGCATGATCTCAGCTCACTGCAACCTCCGCCCCTGGGTTCACGAGATTCTTCTGCCTCAGCCTCCCAAGTAGTTGGGATTACAGGCATGCACCACCACGCCCATCTGGGTTTCTCCATGTTTGTTAGGCGAGTCTCAAACTTCTGACCTCAGGTGGTCCACCTGCCTCAGCCTCCCAAAGTGCTGGGACTACAGGCATAAGCCACCATGCCGGGCTGCTTTTTTTTTTTTTTTTTTAATTTAAAAAAAAAAGATTAATGAATTTAACAAAAATTTTTCTATATACTTGTTTTTTTTAATTTTAGAGACGGGATCTTGCCATGTTGGCCAGCTGGTCTTGAACTCCTGGGCTCAAGCGATCTGCCTGTCTGGGCCTCCCAGAGTACTGGGATCATAGGTGTGGTCTCGAACTCCTGGGCACAAGGGATCTGCCTGTTAGGCCTCCCCAAGTACTGGGATTATAGATATGAGCCATGGTACCTGGCCCCTACATAGGTTTTCTTTACAGAAGAATGACAAATATAAAAACACAGCTTTACTCAACACAGTAATATTCAGTTCAGCCAATAATCATGCTTGGGTACCTAAATAATTGGGTAAAAGAGTATGGAAGAACAGGTATTTTACACAATTTCAAAAGTATTTCCCCACTGATTACTGATTAAAAGCAAAGGGAAAGAGACTTTAGAGTGTAAACATCTAGTACATACTATCCTAATCAAATGATTAAAGTTATTAGTGATGGACAAACTCAGTCTCTGCATTTTGATGTGATGCAGTGAAAAGGGCCATGTCACCTAAGTAATATTTCTACCAAAAATGTTTACCTGAGTCTCAGCATGAAGAAACAGTCAGACAAATCCACATTAAAAGATCTGTAAAAGTGCTGGCCTGGATTCTTCTAGGAGCCAGATGTCATGAAAAAACAAGGCTAGACAGATCACTTAATGGAGACCAAACAGACATCACAACTGCAATGTATGATCCTCACTTGGATCCTGGAAGCCTAACAAAGACAGGCAGGCCCACTGGCTCACGCCTATACTCCCAGCACTTTGGGAAGCCGAGGTGGGTCAAGACCAGCCTGGCCAACATGGTAAAACCCTGTCTCTACTGAAAATCCAAAAAATAACTAGATATGGTGGCATGTACCTGTATTTCCAGCTACTCGGGAGGCTGAGGCAGAAGAATCTTTTGAACTTATCTCATGTCTATAATCCCACCACTGTGTGAGATCAATGCAGGTGGATCACCTGAGGTCAGGAGTTAAAGATCAGCCTGGCCAACATGGTGAAATCCAGTCTACTAAAAATACAAAAATTAGCTGGGCACCGTGGCTCGTGCCTGTAATCTCAACACTTTGGGAGGCCAAGGCAGGCAGATCACCTGAGGTCAGGAGTTCGGGACCAGCCTGTCCAACATGTGTGAAACCCCATCTCTACTAAAAATGCAAAATATAAAAATTAGCCCAGTGTGGTGGTGTGCACCTGTAATCCCAGCTACTCAGGAAGCTGAGACAGGAGAATTGCTTGAACCCAGGAGGTGGAGGTTGCAGTGAACCAAAATCACAACACTACACTCCAGCCTGGGCAATAGAGCAAGACTCTTGTCTCAGTAATAGGCTGGGTGCAGTGGCTCACACCTATAATCCCGGCACTTTGGGAGGCTGAGGTGGGTGGATCACGAGGTCAAGAGATCGAGACCATCGTGGTCAACATGGTGAAACCCTGTCTCTGCTAAAAATACAAAAAATTAGCTGGGCATGGTGGCACGTGCCTGTAGTCCCAGCTACTCGGGAGGCTGAGGCAGGAGAATTGCCTGAACCCAGGAGGCAGAGGTTGCGGTGAGCCGAGATCGGGCCATTGTACTCCAGCCTGGGTAACAAGAGCGAAACTCCGTCTCAAAACAAAAAACAAAGAAAATAATAATAATACAAAAATTAGCTGATCATGGTCGCGCACACCTGTAATCCCAGCTACTTGGGAGGCTGAGGCAGGAGAATCACTTGAGCCCGGGAGGCAGAGGTTTCAGTGAGCCGAGATTGTGCCACTGCACTCCAGCCTGAATGACAGAGTGAGACTCTGTCTCAAAACAAAAACAAAACAACATTGGCTGCCAGTGGGGACACTAGAGATAAAAAGGAGAGAAAGACTTTTCAGTGCTCTGTTTTTCTACGTGTATTTCCTATTGAAGAAGGCAAGGAATTTCTAATGGAAATTTGATAGCACAGGAAATATCTATATATTAAATGATAACAGCATGGTATAGGTTTGGGTAGAATTCCAGCTATATATAACATGTCTTTAAAAACAGAAAGGAAGTACAAAGTTAGATGTCAGTGGCAATTTTTTCAGGTAATAGAAGTATGAATTTCTTTTCCTTTTCTCTTCGCTGTATTTTCCATGTTTTTTGTAACGAGTTTACAGTATTTTTCTGATAGACAAAAATAATGAACTTTTTTCTTAAAATGCTTAATGCCATTCTTTATATGGGATTTGTCCCTGTACCCATTTGTTTCCTCACCTCTCACCCCACAAAAAATAGAAAATTCCTCAGATAGGCCAGGCACGGTGGCTGACACCTGTAATCCCAGCACTTTGGGAGGCCAAGGCAGGCGGATTATGAGGTAAAGAGATCAAGGCCAACATGGTGAAACCCCATCTCTACTAAAAAATACAAAAATTAGCTGGGCGTGGTGGCACACACCTGTAGTCTCAGCTACTCTGGAGGCTGAGGCAGGAGAATTGCTTGAACCAGGGAGACAGAGGTTGCAGTGAACCGACATCATGCCACTGCACTCCAGCCTGGCAACAGAGCAAGACTCGGTCTCAAAAAAAAAAAAGAAAAAGAAAATTCCTCAGATATTATTATTCTGTTACTCATCAGCCTATAAATAATAAGAGGTCTTAAGTATATAAAATATTGATGGCCAGGAATACACAGTTCCAACAGGAGCACGTACCATTACACTGAAGGAAGAATGCAGAGAGAAGAGAAGGACATGCACACCTCACCTGCTGCAGTGCCTTTTCCTTTTCGGGGCTCAGAGCTGTGCTGTATCTTGTTTTCTGTACTGTTCCAGGTAGACAACCAATATCTTACAATCTTTTTTTCTACTCTATTTTGTTTTGTTGCTTTTTCTTTTTTAAGAATAACTGCACAAAGACTTGCCCACCTGAATAAGTGCTTGATGAACTTTAAGCTAGGCAATTTCAGCTATCAGAAAAAGCCTCTGAAATTGGGAGAGCTTCAAGGAAACCACTTCACAGTTGTTCTCAGGTAAAGACCTGCAGGTGGGAATGTGGACCAGAGGGTCTGGCCAGGGCATTGTGAGTCTGTTACTCATCACTGGTCATAAGGTCCTGGTGAGCTGGTATTAACAGGAGTGGCAGCACAGGAGGGTAGGGTAGGGCAGGGCTGGGAGAGCAAATACAGACACCTTGCCCCTCGGAAACCTAGCACAGCCTTTGGAAAGACACCGTTTTCTTCAAATACTGTGGTAAAAGACACTGAGCCTGCGATTCCACTTAAAGACAAAGCTCCTAGAATAGGCAAATCCATAGACATAGGAAGTAGAATAGTGGTTACAGGGGAAAGGGCAGGAGTAATGGAAAGTTACTGTTGAGTGGGTACAGAGTTTCATTTCGGGAACATGAAAAAATTTGGGAAATAGATAGTGATGAAGGTTGCCCAACATTGTGAATGTAGTTAACCCATTTATGCATGGTGTTCCGTTATTGGAATGCTAAGTATGTAAGAGTTATTTCTGTCGTACTGCTCAAGATCATCCCCAAAGTCTGATTGCAAAAATTAAAAAAATTACAACCTCCAGCATAAATGGATTAATACCACCAAATTGCACACTTAAAAATGGCTAAAATGGTAAATTACATTATAAATCACTTATCACAACTTTTAAAAAAAGAAAGAGCCCTCAGGAGGTAGAGAGAAAGCTGCAGGGGAGTGAGCGAAACACGCCGAAGCTACACTGTAGTAATTTATGATCTGCCTCTCTGAGCGTTTGGCTTTTTTTCTCTGGATAATTTGGATCCCTGTAGAAATATAACAGGAACTGATGACCAAGTACAGCAAGCTATGAACTCTCTCAAGGAGATTGGATTTATTAACTACTATGGAATGCAGAGATTTGGAACCACAGCTGTCCCCACGTATCAGGTTGGAAGGTTGGTATTGAATTTCTTTGATCAAAAAGAGCTTTTTCATAAAAGAAGCAGGATTTGTTGTTGGTGGTGGTTTTAATTATTTCTACATTCTCTCATGTCTGGAGTAAAGGAACCACAGTCTCATAATTTTTGTTTTAAGATAATGCATGCACAAGGTAAAAAATCAAGAGTTCAAAAGAATATGACTTGAAAATTGAGCTTTCCTACCACTCTTGGTAACCCATCCAGGGGATCTATTTTTATTTTTATTTTATTATTTTGAGACAGTCTTGCTCTGTTGATCAGGCTGAAGTGCAGTGGTGCAATGTCAGCTCACTGCAACCTCTGCCTCCCAAGTTCAAGCAGTTTGCCTGCCTCAGCCTCCTGAGTAGCTGGGATTACAGGCTCCTGCCACCACACCCAGCTAACTTTTTTGTATTTTTAGTAGCGACAGGGTTTTGCCATGTGACCAGGCTGGTCTCAAACTCCTGACCTCAAATAATCTACCTACCTCAGCCTCCCAAAGTACTGGAATTACAGGTGTGAGCCACTGTGCCCGGCCCTATTTTTATTTGTATTTTTTAACAGGTAAGCCTTGGCTCCGTAATTGACTCGGTGATTCCACAGTAATCAGTTGGGTAACTCACACCCAAAGTAACCCCACAGAGATGAAACATTTTATGATCTGTGTTAACAAGTTTATTAAATTTGATATGCCCTTCTCTCACTTTTAATTTTATTTATTTTTTAAGTTTTATTTTTTGAGATGACGTCTTGTTCTGTGCCCAGGCTGCAGTGTAGTGGCACCATCTCAGCTCACTGCAACCTCCGCCTCCTGGGTTCAGGTGATTCTTCTGCTGCAGCCTCCCAAGTAGCGGAGACTACAGGCATGCACCATGCCCAGCTAATTTTTGTATTTTTAGTAGAGGCGAGGTTTTGCCATGTTGGCCAAACTGGTCTCAAACTCCTGACCTCCAGTGATCTGCCGGCCTCAGTCTCCCTAAGTGGGAGGTGTGAGCCACCATGCCTGGCCCCTTTCCTCACTCTTTAAGGAAAGTAATAAAGGATAAAATTAGGCCAGGCGCGGTGGCTCAAGCCTATAATCCCAGCACTTTGGGAGTCCGAGGCGGGTGGATCACGATGTCAGCTGATCGAGACCATCCTGGTCAACATGGTGAAACCCCGTCTCTACTAAAAATACAAAAAATTAGCTGGGCATGGTGGCATGTGCCTGTAATCCCAGTTACTCAGGAGGCTGAGGCAGGAGAATTGCCTGAACCCAGGAGGCGGAGGTTGCGGTGAGCCAAGATCGCGCCATTGCACTCCAGCCTGGGTAACAAGAGCGAAACTCCGTATCAAAAAAAAAAAGGATAAAATTAGTGACATGGAATTTAAGAACTCTGATTTACTTTTAAACTAATAAGAACTCCTCTAGACTAAGCTGCAGTGGGAATCCCGTACTCTTTTGTATTTTTTTTTTTTTTTAGTAGAAACGAGGTTTCACCATGTTGACCAGGATGGTCTCAATCTCTTGACCTCATGATCCACCCACCTTGGCCTCCCAAGTGCTGGAATTACAGGCGTGAGCCACCGCGCCCGGCCCCAAGGGAATCCTGTACTCTTTAAGGAAACTAATAAAGATTAAAATTAGTGGCATGGAATTTAAGAACTCTGATTTACTTTCAAACTATTAAGAATCCCTCTAGACTAAGCTACAGTGGGAATCCCATCAGTAAATAGTTGGGTTCATAAATGTACTTCCAGAATCCTGTTGCTCAGCAGAGACTGGGTTACATAAACTATTCAGTTAGAATTGTAGTGGTTGACAAGTTGGAAATGATTTGAGTGTTCATATTCTTCCTTGTGTTTCAGACCCTTCAGGTTAGCAAATTTAGGCTTAGAGTGGGCTGTACTTTGGAAATATAGTTTTCCTGGCTTCCAGTCCATTGTTTTAGCAGCTAACTATGTGAAGTAGCATTCGTTTTTGTGATTTTAAAAGTGCAAAATGATAAAAATCTATATTTCCTCTGCCTCTTTGAGGCAGTATTAAGAAGATGAAAAAGCCCAGGTGAAATCAGACTTGAGTTCTGAGCCTCAAATTACTCATCTATAGAATGGAGATGATAATACCAATTCAGAAGGTGATGAAAATGAAGTGAAATGATGTTGAGGCCACATCTGTTTTTATGCCTAGAATATAGTGAGTGCTAATATGTTTTCAACCTTTCAATGGTCAGAGGGCATTGACAAAAACAATAAAAATGTGAATTGTATTATGGGACAGACTATTTAAGGAAGGGCTGTATCAACTTACAAATTTGTTATTAATTTGCCAGAAGGACAACCATGAAACCCTATACATTTTGTACTTCAAAGATAATGTAAATGTAAATAACTAAAATGAGATCAAATTTATCCCACAACAAAAATTACATAACATGCCCAAAGGTCAGTACTGTCAGCTCAGAATTCCAAATCATTCGTTGTTATAGCATAAGAATGTCTCTTGCTTTCAAAGAAACCCACTGTTAACACCATAGAATTTCCTGAAGGCAAAAACAAACCCTTAGTTTATATTGTGTAGGTGGAAAAATGGCTTGTATCCAGAATATTAAAAGCTCTTAGAACTCAAGAACAGAAAGACACCCCATTCTAAAACTTGGCAAAGAGTCTGAATAGACCTTTTTCAAAATAACATAAACAAATGACCAATAAGCACCCCAAAAGATGCTTATCATCACTATCTTTAAGAAATGCAAATCAAAACCACAGTGAGATGCCACTTCATACCTACCAGGATGGCTGAAATAAAGACAGAGAATAGTTGGTGAAGACTGGAGAAATTGGAACCCCTGTACATTCCTAGTGGAAATGTAAAATGGTATAACCATTTTGGAAAATAGCCTGGTAGTTCCTCAACAGGTTACAAAGTTAGCATATGACCCAGCAGTTGCATTTCTAGGTATATACTGAAGACAATTGAAAATCATATGTTCACATAAAAGTTTATACAGATGTTTATAGCAGCCAAAAGACTGGAAACAACCCAAATGTCCACCTACTAATGAATGGATAAACAAAATGTACAATGGAATATACAATAATATACAATGAAATATTAGCAATAAAAAGGAATGAAATACTGATACGTTCTGCAACATGAATGAACCTTGAAAACATTGCTGAATAAACTGGGCACTGTGGCTCATGCCTCTAATCCCAACAATTTGAGAGGCCAAGGTGGGAGGATCACTTGAAGCCAGGAGTTCAAGACCAGCCTGGGCACCATAGCAAGGCCCCATCTCTACAAAAAAAATTTTTTTTGGCTGGGCGCGGTGGCTCAAGCCTGTAATTCCAGCACTTTGGGAGGCCGAGGCAGGTGGATCACGAGGTCAAGAGATCAAGACCATCCTGGTCAACATGGTGAAACCCCGTCTCTACTAAAAATACAAAAAAATTAGCTGGGCATGGTGGTGTGTGCCTGTAATCCCAGCTACTCAGGAGGCTGAGGCAGGAGAATTGCCTGAACCCAGGAGGCAGAGGTTGCGGTGAGCCGAGATCGCGCCATTGCACTCCAGCCTGGGTAACAAGAGCGAAACTCTGTCTCAAAAAAAAAAAAATTTTTTTTTTAATTAGCTGAGTGTGGCGCTGCCTGCCTTTGGTCCTAGATAGTCAGGAGGCTTAGGCAGGAGAATCACTTAAGCCCAGGAGTTTGAGGATGCAGTGAACAGTGAACCCCCACTGCACTATAGCCTGGGTAGAAGAGCAAGACCCTGCCTGTGAATGAGTGAATGAATCCGTTTTTTTGCTTTTTTTTACTTCAAAACCACAATCAGAAGAAATTTTCTATGAAATTTCCAATGTGAGCAAATCTATAGAGAAAGAGCTGGAACAGCCCAAATGGGGAGTGACTGCCAATGGGATAGGAGTTTTTTTGGGGGGGTGATAAAAATGTTCTAAAATTCTGTAATGCTCCACAATTCTTTGAAAACATTAAAAGCCATTGAATTGTACACTTAAAATTCAGTGGGTGAATTACATGGTATGTGAATTACTGAATACCTTACTAAAAACTTTTAAAAAGAAAGTGAGCTGGGTACAGTGGCTCACGCCCGTAATCCCAACACTTTGGGAGGCCGAGGTGAGTAGATCACCTGAGGTCAATAGTTCGAGATCAGCCTGGCCAACATGGTGAAACCTCTTCTCTACCAAGAATACAAAAATTAGCTGAGTGTGGTGGCATATTCCTGTAGTCCCAGCTACTCGGGAGGCTGAGGCAGGAGAATCGCTTGAACTCAGGAGGCAGAGGTGACAGAGCGAGACTCTGTCTCAAAAAAAAAAGAAAAGTAGAGTAAGTAAGCCCTTGCATCTATTTAAATGATTTGCGAGAAGGGTGATAAGACCATTCAAAGTGGAAAGGATAACTTTTCAACAAATAATTTTTAGGAAAATTGGATATCCACATGCAAAAAACCGAAATTGGACCCTTACCTTACAAGTTGCACCATATATAAAATTAAAATAGACTAGGCGACGCGCCGGTAAGCAACAGCCTCGGCCAGCGCTGGATCAAGCGGGCTACCATGGGGAAAATCGCGCTGCAGCTCAAAGCCATGCTAGAGAACATCACCAATGTCCGGCCTGTGGGCGAGGACTTCCGGTGGTGTTTGAAGATGAAATGTGGCAACTGTGGTGAGATTTCAGACAAGTGGCAGTACATCCGGCTGATGGATAGTGTGGCACTAAAGGGGGGCCGTGGCAGTGCTTCCATGGTCCAGAAGTGGAAGTTGTGTGCAAGAGAAAATTCCATTGAGATTTTAAGCAGCACCATCAAGCCTTACGATGCTGAAGACAATGAGAACTTCAAGACAATAGTGGAGTTTGAGTGCCTAGGCCTTGAACCAGTTGATTTCCAGCCTCAGGCTGGGTTTGCTGCTGAAGGTGTGGAGTCAGGGACAGTCTTCAGTGACATTAATTTGCAGGAGGATTGAACTGACTATGATGAAAAGGCCCAGGAGTCTGTGGGAATCTACGAGGTCACCCACCAGTTCGTGAAGTGCTGATCCCTCTTCCTGCACACTTGAACTGAGAAAGGACAAAGTACTGTAAGCAGCAGATCCCACAGGGGCTGGTTCCTTTGTCCCTTGTCTCCTGGCGGCTGTACCAAACGTTCACAATCTGCTGGTTGGACTTTATTGCAGCTTCCCAAGCCCCATCAATAAAGCCCCTGTTTGTGCTACACTGGTGCATGAAGGTGAAGTCAGGTGGCAGCTACTCCCTCCACAAATAAGAATTCATGCAGCAGCAGTTTACTCCTTAGGAAAATGAAGAGTATTTTTAAGGAGATGGAATCTCCCCAGTGAGGGGCAATTTTGTAGAGAAGACGAAACTGCAATCCCACCATCACTCAATGAGCCAGAAGCCAATGGCAACTTACTGTAACCCAAACTTACTGAACTTCCTGTTGGAAAGATCTTTGTGAGGATTAGGAATTCGTTTTAAAAAATTTAAGAACCATCTTCAAGCAAAAATAAAACTTTATTTCTGCTCAAACAATAAAAAAAAAAAAAATAGACTAGGCATGATGGATTACGCCTGTAATCCCAGCACTTTGGGAAGCCGAGGTGGGCGGATTGCTTGAGGTCAGACATTCAAGACCAGCCTTGCCAACATAGTGAAACCCCGTCTCTACTAAAAAATACAAAAATTAACTGGGGGTGGTGGTGTGCACACCTGTAATCCCAGCTACTCGTGAGGCTGAGGCAGGAGAATTGCTTGAGCCCGGGGGACAGAGGTTGCAGTGAGCCAAGATTGTGCCACTGCACTCCAGCCTGGGTGACAGTGAAACTGTCTCAAAAATAAAATAAACTCAAAGTGGATCAAAGATCTAAACATAGAGCAGAGCTGCACTTACACAAAGTCTTAGAAAACATGGGTGGAAACTTCATGATACTGGATTTGTCAGTGGTTTCTTGAATATGACACCAAAAGCAAAAAGCAACACAAAAGAAAAAAATAGGTAAGTTGGACTTTAAAAAAAAAAAAAAAAACACGTGCATCAAAGGACACTTTCAACGGAATGAAAAGATAACCCACAGAATAGGAGACAATATTTCAAATCATGTATCTGATAAGACATATCTAGAATGTATAAAGGACTAAATGACTTTTAAAACTCAACAACAACCAAAAAAAAATGCAAAGGAGTGGAATAAATGTGTTTCCAAAGATATGTAGATTGGTGTTTAGCATCACTAGTCATTAGGGAGATGCAAATTGAAACCACCATGGGTACCACTTTATATCCATTAGGAAGGCTACCATCACAAAACAACAAAATAAGTATTGGTAAGGGTGCAGAGAAATAAGAAACCTAGCTTTGCTGGGGAGGATGTAAAATAGTATAGCCATTGTGGAAAACAGTATGGTGATTTCTTAAGAAATTAAATATAGGCTGGGCATGGTGGCTCAGGCCTATAATCTCAGCACTTTGGGAGGCTAAGGCTGGCTGGTCACAAGCTCAAGAGATCGAGACCATCCTGACCAACATGGTGAACCCCCCCATCTCTTCTAAAAATACAAAAATTAGCTGGGCATGGTGACAGGTGCTTGTAGTCCCAACTACTCAGAAGGCTAAGGCAGGAGAATCTCTTGAACCCAGGAGGTGGAGGTTGCAGTGAGCTGAGATCGTACCATTGCACTTAAGCCTGGTGAGAGAGCAAGACTCCATCTAAAAAAAATAAAGTAAAAATAAATATAGGCTGGGTGTGGTGGCTCATGCCTGTAATCCCAGCACTTTGGGAGGCCAAGGTGGGTGGATCACCTGAGGTCAGGGGTTCAAGAACAGCCTGACCAATATGGAGAAACCCTACTAAAAATACAAAAAAAAAATAGCATTCCTGTAATCCCAGCTACTTGGGAGGCTGAGGCAGGAGAATGGCTTGAACCTGGGAGGCAGAGGTTGCGGTGAGCCAAGATCACGCCATCACACTCCAGCCTGGGCAACAAGAGTGAAACTCTGTCTCAAAAATAAATAAAATTATGTTATGATCCAGCAATTCCACATCTCAGTATATATGCAAAATAAATGACAGTGGGAACTCACCAGATACTTGTACATGCATGTTTATAACAGCACCATTCACAATAGCCAAAAGATAGGAGCAACCCAGGTGTTCATCCAAACAAAATGTGGCATATACATACAAGGGAATATGTAAGCCTTTAAAAGGAGGGATTTTGGTTGGTTGGTTGGTTGCTTTTTGTTTTTTTGAGATGGAGTCTTGGTCTGTTGCCCAGACTGGAGTGCAGTGGCATAATCTTGGCTCACTACAGCCTCCACCTCCTGGTCTTGAGTAATTCAAAAGGAGGGAAATTTTCATACATGCTCTCACATGGAAAAGCCTTGGAAACTTTATGTTACCTGATATAAGCCAGTAACAAAAGGGCAAATATGGTATGATTTCTCTTACATGAGGTTCCTAGAGTTGTCAAAGCCATAGACAGAAAGTGGAATGGTGGCTGCCAGGGGTTAGGGGGATGGGTAGATAGGGAGTTTTATTGAATGGGTATTGAGTTTCAGTTGAGAAGATTGAAGAGTTCAGGAGGTGGACAGTGGTGATGGTTGTCCCAACAATGTAAATGTGCATAAGGCCATAGAACTGTACACTTAAAAATAGCCAAAAATCTAAAATTTATGTTATATTTATTTTACCACAGTAAAATAAAAGAAGGTAGAAGAAGGAAAGATAAAGTAAGAAAAGTACAAAACACCGTAATGTGTAGTGTACTAAATAGGATGGCCCATTGCAAACCAGATCTGTTTATATTTAATATGGTGTTGTATACCGAACCTTGACAGTATATGGTGGCCTCTTAACGGTGCTGAAAAGTCCTGCAGTTAAGAAACCGTTTAGGGCCGGACGCAGTGGCTCCTACCTGTAATCCCAGCACTTTGGGAGGCCAAGGCAGGTGGATCACAAGGACAGGAGATTGAGACATCCTAGCCAGCATGGTGAAACCCCACTAAAAATATAAAAGTTACCTGGGCATAGTGCACAGTAGTGTCAGCTACTCAGGAGGCTGAGGCAAGAGAATCGCTTGAACCAGGGAGGTGGAGATTGTAGTGAGATCGCACCACGCACCACTGCACTCCAGCCTGGGCAACAGAGAGACTCTGTCTAAAAAAAAAGATAGAAACTGTTTATTATATCAGGTGGTGGCAAAGGGTTTTCTATAAAGGAACAGTTGGTTACTATTTCAGGCTTCGTGGGTCATTTAACATCTGTTGCAGGTACTGAGCTCTGGAGTTACACTGCAAAAGCAGCCATGGACAGTTTGCAAATCAATGAGCATGGCTGCTTTCCAATAAAACTACAGAATTAGGTGGACAACCAGATTAGGCCTGCAGGCTGTAATTGATACTTAACAAAGGTTTTTTGTTTCCTTGCTTGTTTGTGTTTGTTTTTGTTTTTGAGATGAAGTCTCACTCTTTCGCCCAGGCTGGGGTGCAGTGGCGCGATCTGGGCTCACTACAACCTCCACCTCCCGGGTTCAAACAATTCTTCTGCCTCAGCCTCCTGAGTAGATGGGACTACAGGCACGTGCCACCATGCCCGGCTAAGTTTTTTGTATTTTTGGGAGAAATGGGGTCTCACTATGTTAGCCGGGATGGTCTCAATTTTCTGACCTTGTGATCCATCTGCCTCAGCCTCCCAAAGTGCTGGAATTACAGGCGTGAACCACCACACCCAACCTAACCAAGGTTTTTTGGTGTAAAAATCTGTGTCTGTTATATCTGGCAGACCAGTGCCTAGTACCAACTAGTACTCTACTGTTTTTGTCAATATTGTCTAAAGGATTATCCAAGTAAGTAATTTATCCCAGGACTGATTTAAAGACTGATTTAACATGGCTTGTTCCAGGACTGTGAGGATGGCCATCAATAAGAAATCTGTTGGTGTAATTATATTACTGGATTGAAAATCCATATGATGTCATCAATATATACCAAATAGCATTTTAGACAGTTTAATATCCAGAAATGGCTTCTTATTATGTAACTTAAATATGAAAAAAAGAAACATAATTAACTGGAAAAACAAAAATTAATAGAAAGGGATTCCTGCGTTCTTTTGATAGAGAAAGGTCTTGCTAAGTAAGACTCCAAGGCCAGAAATCTTAAAGGAAAAAAATTTTCAGATGCAGTATAGCAATAATATAGTAAGTTAAAGGAAGAATTACATACACTTACAGATTCACCAAAAAGGTCAAAAATACACTCTGAGGTGTTAACAGTGCTTTATTTCTTAGAGATTGAGTAACATGTAACCTGCCTTATATACCATTCAGTTTTTTAAAAGCATATGTAAGCCAGGCATGGTGGCTCACACCTGTAATCCCAGCACTTTGGGAGGCCAATGTGGCAGATCACTTGAGGCTAGGAGTTTGAGAGCAGCCTGGCCAACATAGTGAAACCTCATCTCTACTAAAAATACAAATGGCTGAGCACAGTGGTTCATGCCTGTAATCCCAGCACTTTGGGAGGCTGAAGTTGGTGGATCCCTTGAGGCCAAGAGTTCAAGACCAGCCTGGACAACATGGTGAAACCCCTTCTCTACTAAAAATACAAAAGTTAGCCGGACTTGGTGGCCCAAGCCTATAATCCCAGCTACTTGGGAGGCCGAGGCACAAGAATCGCTTGAACCTGAAAGGCAGAGGTTGCAGTGAGCTGAGATCACGCCACTGCATTCCAACCTAGGCAGAAGAGTGAGACTCCATCTCAAAAAAATAAAAAATTAGCCAGGCATGGTGACTCATACCTGTAGTTTCAGCTGCACAGGAGGATGATGCAGGAGAATTGCTTAAGCCCAAGAGCAGAGGTTGCAGTGAGCCAAGATCGTGCCACCGTAGTCCACCCTAGAAGACAAAGGGAGACTATCTCAGGAAATTAAAATTAAATTTTTAAAAAAGCATATGTAAATTATATAATCATCAGATATCAAGATATTTCCATTCTGACAAGAATAATATAGAAGAGCAAATTGTATTCTATTTGCCTAGATAATACCAAGAAGGTATTAACATAGAGAAATCAAACGAGTTTCACACATAAAGACTTAACTGTGATTTATATAAATAATACCTTGTAGGCTGGGCACAGTGGCTGGCACCTGTAATCCCAGCACTTAGGGAGGCCGAGGTGGGTAGACCACAAGGTTGGGAGTTCAAGACCAGCCTGGCCAATAAGGTGAACCCCCCCCCCCAACCACCAAAAAAAAAAATACAAAAATTAGCCAGGCATGGTGGTGGGTGCCTGTAGTCTCAGCTACTCTGGAGGCTGAGGCAGGAGAATCACTTGAACCCTGGAGGCAGAGGTTGCAGTGAGCCGAGATCGTGCCACTGCACTCCAGCCTGGGTGACAGGGTGAGACTCCGTCTCAAAAATAAATAAAAAGCATGTAACTACCTAAAGCATGACTAGGTAGTATTTGTACTATTAACACATGTTTAAACTGAAATGATATTAAATGTTATGCGTAAGCATTATGTTTTCAATTTTATTCTTTTTTTTTTTTAAAGTTCTTTTGGTAGAAGTCCTTTTATACTTGAAATCTGTATCATACTAGATTCTCTGCTTACTCTTAAATTTAATAAGATAATGTAGGATCAGGTGTAGTGGCTCACACCTGTAATCCCAACACTTAGGGGCACCAAGGTGGGAAGATCACTTGAGCCCAGAATTTGAAGACAAATAGTGAGACCCCATCTCTACAATAAATTAAGAACTTAGCCAGGTATGGTGGTGTGCATGTGTAGTTCCCGCTACTACCAGGGTGGCGGGAAGGCTGAGTTGGTAGAATCGCTTGAGCTTGGGAGGTCAAGGCTTCAGTGTATAGTTAATGTGATTTGTTGACTCTTCAGAGATTTATGCATATAAAGTTTATCTTCATGCAAAATTAAGTAAAATAAATGTTGTTTAATTTTAGAGCTATACTACAGAATTCCTGGACAGAAGTCATGGATTTAATATTGAAACCCCGCTCTGGAGGTGAGAATAAAATTCATGTTAAGAAAATAGAATGGCCGGGCACGGTGGCTCACGCCTATAATCCCAGCACCTTGGGAGGCCGAGGCGGGTGGATCACGAGGTCAAGAGATCGAGACCCTCCTGGTCAACAAGGTGAAACCCCATCACTACTAAAAATACAAAAATTAGCTGGGCAAGGTGGTGCGTGCCTGTAGTCCCAGCTACTCGGGAGGCTGAGGCAGGAGAATTGCTTGAACCCAGGAAGCGGAGGTTGCGGTGAGCCAAGATCGTGCCATTGCACTCCAGTCTGTGTAACAACAGCGAAGCTTCGTCTCAAAAAAAAAAAGAAAATAGAATGTATGACTAGGTATTCATGAAATTGCTTTGAATAAAAGCATTTGTGCAAATTGGGGTTATTATTTCAGTATTTTATTTGTTTTTACAATGAAAGTATACATTTATGTATATTTTTCAACAGTTTTATGTATGTATTTAAGATTTATAATTTATATCCTATTTTAGCCTTTTTTTGGAGGCGGAGTTTCAGTCTCATTTCCCAGGTTGGGGTGCAATGCTACAACCTCGCCTCCCGTGTTCCAGTGATTCTCCTGCCTCAGCCTCCTGAGTAGCTGGGATTATAGGCATGTATCACCATACCCAGCTAATTCTGTATTTTTAGTAGAGGCGGGGTTTCACCATGCTGGTCAGGCTGGTCTCAAACTCATGACCTCAGGTGATCCACTTGCCTTAGCCTCCCAGATTGCAGAGATTACAGGAGTGAGCCACCATTCCTGGCCTCTATTTTAGCTCTTTTGCCCGCTCAGTGTATTAATGCATAACTGAATAAATATATTTTATTGTATTATTATTTTTTTTTGAGACGGAGTTTCGCTCTTGTTACCCAGGCTGGAGTGCAATGGCGCGATCTCGGCTCACTGCAACCTCCGCCTTCTGGGTTCAAGCAATTCTCCTGCCTCAGACTCCCGAGTAGCTGGGACTACAGGCATGCGCCACCATGCCCAGCTAATTTTTTATATTTTTACTAGAGATGGGGTTTCACCTTGTTGACCAGGATGGTCTCCATCTCTTGACCTCGTGATCCACCCGCCTCGGCCTCCCAAAGTGCTGGGATTATAGGCGTGAGCCACCGCGCCCGGGCATAAATACATTTTAAAAATAAACACATATGTTTTTCTTTATTCACTTCTAAATATGAGTGTATATGAATCCAAAAAGTTTCACCTGTGGTTATTTTGTTAAAACATAGTGTAATAGAATATAAAAACTTGGTAAAAACATCTTGAGGATTTGCAGTATGAAGAATTCAACAAAAACTTTCCAGAAAGTATCTCTAAAATCACATTGAATGAAAAAAGATTTAATTACTGCTATACTGATTGTCAAAATAATTATGCTCACTTTGGGTACTTCATTTGCAAACTATAAAAAGATGAAATTATCTGATTTTAAGGCAAGTACACCCTGCCCGTTAAACTTGACATTACAATGGAAAAAGAGAAGGAAAGAAGTACTAGCAGCTTTTAGTCATGTTAAATCAGCTACGGTAATGAACAGTTAAATGGCTTTTACTGTTGACCAGAGGGTGATAGCATGTTGACAAAGCCAAATAGTTCTGTAAATTTTCTACATTTCCTGTCTTTGCACTTCCTCAGATGAGTGGAAGCTCTAAACAGCACCTATATTGCAAATAGCATTTTCTAATTTTGTGTTCTCTGTGAACTGAACTTTTAAGTTATGGAAGTCTATCTGTTGGGTAAGTCATTTATTCATAGTTTTTTTCCCCCCTCAGCTGAAAAGGGCTACTTGGTTAAATGCAGAGAAGAATGGGCAAAGACCAAAGACCCAACTGCTGCCCTCAGAAAACTACCTGTCAAAAGGTGTGTGGAAGGGCAGCTGCTTCGAGGACTTTCAAAATATGGAATGAAGAATATAGTCTCTGCATTTGGCCTAGTGAGTGCAATTTGTGAAGTCAGGCAATGGCTCAAGGTGTTTTAATGCTTTTTAAATTTCATCTCAAGGATTTTACTAAATTTTGAAAGAGCAGAAGGTAAATAAGGATCCTTAGATGATCTCTGAGCTGTTTCACCCGAGTAATCTTTGGTCAGACCCTGAGTGATGATGAGGGAGTGGATGCGAGCATTACTTATTGAGGGCATAAGAAAAGCATCAATGTGGAAAACATAGTCTTCGGTGGAAATTCTGTTTAAATTAAGTCTCTTGGTATTGGAGAAATTCAGAATCTATTGTACAGTCATTTCCTGATCATTCCATCACCAGAACTATAAACTGCCTTAGTAAAAGGACTGAACAGCAGGCAGTCTAAATAGTTGCATTTTAGTCTGGTTTCATCATGGTGATTCAAGAGTAGGAAGTACCATACTAGCAAGTGTAGCCCATACCAGTATTTGGATATGTATAATCCAGGACATGTTAAAGTTTAACCCTTAAACTAAGTCTTTTCCAAGATGCACAAAGAAAGCAGAATTCTGAGTGCATGAAATTAGTTGTCAGTTCAATAATTTAGATTCTTTCTTTCCATGGCATTATGGGAGAGAAAGCTCTGTTAGCTCGAAAATTGATGTGTAAATTCCTTGAGTTTGCACACTGTGCCATTGATGTAAGGCATGCTTGTCCATCCTGCAGCCTGCGGGCCACATGCAGCCCAGGACAGCTTTGAATGTGGCCCCATACAAATTTTATAAACTTTTCTTAAAACATTATGGCCAAAGAAAAACAAAAAAAGATAAAAAAAAACATTATGGCCGAGCATAGTGTGTCATACCTGTAATCCCATCAGTTTGGGAGGCTGAGGCAGGCAAATCCCTTGAGGCAAGGAGTTTGAGACCAGCCTGGCCAATGCGGCAAAACCTGTCTCTACTAAAAATGCAAAACGGGCTGGTGCAGTGACTCACACCTGTAATCCTGGCACTTGGGGAGGCCAAGGCAGGTGGATCACCTGAGGTCCAGAGTTCTAGACCAGCCTGGCCAACATGGTGAAACCCTATCTCTACTAAAAATAGAAAAAATGCCAGGCACCTGTAGTCCCAGATTCTTGGGAGGCTGAGGCAGGAGAATAGCTTAAAACTGAGAGGCAGAGATTGCAGTGAGCCGAGATCACGCCATTGCACTTCAGCCTGGGCAACAAAGTGAGCCTCTGTCTCAAAAAACAACAACAACAAAAATCCATTATCCAGACATGGTGGTGTGCACCCAGCTACTCAGAAGGCTAACGTGGGAGAATTACTTGAACCTGGGAGGCGGAAGTTGCAGTGAGCTAAGATAGTGTTACTGCATTCCAGCCGAGGTGACAGAGTGAGACCCTGTCTCAAAAAAAAAAAAGGAAAGAAAAGTGAGAGATTAAAGTAGAAGAAAAATGAGAGATTAAAGTAGAAGTTTTGGCTGGGCACAAATTATATGGCTCATGCCTATAATTCTAGCACTTTGGGAGGCTGAGGCTGGTGGATTGCTTAAACCCAGAAGTTTGTGACCAGCCTGGGCAACATAGCAAAATCCTGTCTCTAGAAAAAATCCAAAAGACTAGCCAGGCATGGTGGTGCACAACTGTAGTCACAGCTACTCAATAGGCTGAGGTGGGAGGATCACCTGAGCCTGGGAGTTTGAGGCTACAGTGAGCCATGATCATGCCACTGCACTCCAGCCTGGGTGACAGAATGAAAACCTGTCTCAAAAATAAATGTAAATAAATAAATAAATACAGTAGAAGTTTCTTATACTAGGATTACCACTGAACAAGCAAGGTAGAAAGTATAGCACTTTTTGGTTAGGAGCGGTGGCTCATATCTGTGATCCCAGCACTTTGGGAGGCCAAGGTGGGCAGATCACCTGAGGTCAGGAGTTCAAGACCAACCTGGCCAACATGGTGAAACCTTGTCTATACTAAAAATCCAAAAAAAAGAAAAAACGGTCATGGAGGTATGCCCCTATAATCCCAGCTACTCGGGAGGCTGAGGTGGGAGAATTGTTTGAACCTGGGAGGCGAAGGCACAGTGAGCCGAGATTGCATCACTGCACTCCAGCCGAGATTGCACTCCAGCCTGGGCATGGAGCGAGACCCTGTCTCAAAAAAAAAAGGACAACAGTTTTTATATTCAGAATATGTTTTCTTGCTTATTTTTTTTCTTCCCTCCAGATACCCAGAAATAATCGCTTGATGTATATTCATAGCTACCAAAGCTATGTGTGGAATAATATGGTAAGCAAGAGGATAGAAGACTATGGGCTGAAACCTGCTCCAGGGGACCTTGTTCTCAAAGGAGGTAAAAAGGCAAATGTCTTTGTTATTCAACCAAGCTAGGGTTCAGTTAGTTGCCAGTAATGACTTTAAAATCCAGCCTGGCTACTAATTAAGAAAGAGAGATGTGGCAAGACGTGGTGGCACATGCCCACAATCTTAACACATTGGGAGGCCAAAGTGGGTGGATCTGAGGTCAGGAGGTGAGACCAGCCTGGCCAGTGTGAAAAAACACTGTCTCTACCGAAAATACAAAAATTTAGCTGGGTGTGGTGGTGTATGCCTGTAATCTCAGCTACATGGGAGGCTGAGGCAGGGGAATTGCTTGAACCCAGGAGGTGGACTTGGCAGTGAGCCAAGATAGCGCCACTGTACTCCAGCCTGAGCAACACAGTGAGACTCTATCTCAAAAAAAAAAAAAAAGAAACGTGTAGTAACTTACATTGGTTAGTTTGTATCTGTATCTTTAAAGAAAAAATATACATCTGCTTGAGTAAGCACCTCTGACTGGAACTCCTGACCTCAGGTGATATGCCCACCTCAGCCTCCCAAAGTGCTGGGATTACAGGCTTGAGCCACCAACCCCAGCCTGAGTAAGCATCTCTCTCTGAGCCTCCCTTTTCTCAACTCAAATAGGATTTGAGCTAAATGATGGCTGAAATCTCTTTCTACACTTTTATGTAGGTCTAGCAAATAAATACACCTCTGGATGTATCTTGTCAGCCAGGGGTAAAGTTTCTTCAACTCAACACCAGACTGCCACTGATTTTGCATGTGGGCTATGATAGAATGGGCATTTAGTATATGCTGTGCCCAAAATGTTCCCAAGACAGTGCTAATATCCCATCTGCTGTGGAGCCTGTACTGTGTGCCAGGCCTTGGCACTAAGCCCTGTCTGTATCTTTTCATTTAAAGCCCCCAGTGTTACTGTGAAGTATTTTCTTTGTTTTTCAGATGAGGTTTAGTCACTTGCCCAAGGTTCCACAGCTAGTTAAAACAAAAAAAAACTGGGATTCAGAGTCCAGTCTGTTTGGTTCCAAATTTCATGTGTGTCTGGCATACTAGGCTACCATCTATTAGCTGAATATATAGTCTGCCCATCTGCAGGCAGACCCCATAAACCCACTAGGCTTCTAATTTTGTTCAGAAATTTTAAATTATTTTCTTGATTTAACCTGTTTTCCTCATGCCCTGTTGATCCCATTGAGTGTATTTTAATATCCTGGGTGCTGCTGTGTTTTATTCTCTTAAGTACATACTGTTTTTTTTTAATTGTTTATCTTTTCTTAGCAAAATGCATCCATTTATGATGCCACTGCAAATACGATTTTGGCTTTTCAAAATGTTTCTTGATTTTAAAGAGTAGGCATTCCAAAAAAATGAGGATGCAGCTGAGAGGTAAATGTTTTTAAATTTTCATTGAAAATTTTACTTTAGATGGGGCACAGAAGCTCACACCTATAATCCAAGTACTTTGCGGGGCGAGGGCAGGAGAATCACTTGAGCCCAGGAGTTGAAGACTAGCCAGGGCAACAAAGTAAGACCCAGCTCTACAAAAAATTTTAAAACTAGCCCCGCCTGGTATCATGCACTTACGGTCCCAGCTTCTCGGGAGGCTGAGGCAGTGGGATCACTTGAGCCCAGGAGGTTGAGATTGCAGTGAACCTTAATCATACCACTGCACTCTAGCCTGAGTGACAAAGACCCTGTCTCAAAAAACAAATTTTTTTTTTTACTTTTTCTAAATCCTTGATTTTTATTTCTTCAGTAAAGCAGAAAAGACAGAAGGATATGTATCCAAACTTAATTTCTTTTTCTTTTTTCTTTTTTTTTTTTTTTTCCTTTGAGACAAGGTCTCACTCCAACCCCCAGGCTGGAGTGCAGTGGCACAATCACAGCTCACTGCAGCCTCAACCTGCCAGGCTTAGGTGACCCTGCTGCCTTAGCCTCCCGATTAGCTGGGACTACAGGTGTCTGCCACCACACCCAGCTGATTTTTATTTTTTTATTTTTATTTTTTTTGGTGGGGGGAGGAAGGCAGGAAGGGAGGGAAGAAGGACGGTAGGGAGGAAGGAAGGGATGAAGGAAGGAAGGAAGGGAGGAAGCAGCGAGGGAGGGAAGGAAGGAAATCAAGCAATGAGAGAGACATTGCCGACCTGGATCTAGAGGTTTACAAGTTGATTTATTTTTTTTTGAGAGAAGAAAAGAAAAAAAATAAATAAATAAAGGATAGGAAGAAAGAGGGAGAGTAAATGGAAATATTGCTTTATTTTGAAAAAAATTGGATATTAATAATGGCCAATCAATGTTTCATTTAAACTTATGGGTAGGTGTGATGTGGTATTGACAAGAATGTATATTTTGTGTATTTGAAGTGGAGAGCTCTATAAATATTTATTAAGTTTACTTGTTCAGGATCTGAGTTCGAGTCTTTGATATCCTTATTAATTTTCTGTCTCATTGAATCTAAGTCTCGTATCTGGGTGTTAGGATCGTTAGCTCTTATTGTTGCATTGATCCTTTTACCACTATATCTTTGTCGCTTTAAAATCTATTTTATCCAATACGAGAATTGCAACTCCTGCTTTTTATTTATTATTTATTTTTGCTCTCCATTTGGTTGGTAAATCTTTCTCCATCCCTTTGTTTTGAGTCTTTGTGTATCCTTGCATGTGAAACAGGTCTGGATGTAACATGCCATTGGGTTTTGTCTGTGTCTTTTGATCGGGGGATTTAGTCAATTTAAATTTAGGGTTACTGCCATTTGATGTTGACTGGCTGTTTTATCCATTTGTTGGTGTAAATTCTTCTTTATGTTGGTGCTCTTTACTTTTTGGTGTATTTTTAGAAAGGCTAATACTGGTTGTTTCTTTCTGTGTGTAATGCTTCTTTCAGAAGCTCTTGTAAAGCAGGCCTGGTGGTAATAAAATCTCTGAGTTCTTGCTTGTTCATAAAAGATTTTATTTTTCCTTCAGTTGTGAAGCTTAGTTTGGCTGGATATGAAATTCTGGGCTGAAGGTTCTGTTCTTTGAGGATTTGAATATTGGCCCCCACTCTCTTCTGGCTTGTAGAGTTTCTGCTGAGAGATCTGCTGTAAGTCTGATAAGCTTGCCTTTGTGGGTAACCTGACCTTTCTCTCTGGCTGCCCTTAGTATTTTCTCCTTCGTTTCAACCCTGGTGAATCTAACGATTATGTGCCTTGGGGTTGCTCTTCTTGAGGAATATCTTTGTGGTGTTCTCTGTATTACCTGGGGTTGAATGTTGACCTGCTTTGCTAGTTTAGGAAAATTTTCCTGAATAATATCCTGAAGGGTATTTTCCAGCTTGGATTCATTCTCTCCGTCACATTCAGGTACACCTATCAAACGTAAATTTGGTCTTTTCACATAGTCCCACATTTCTTGTAGACTTTGCTCATTCCTTTTTATCCTTTTTTCTCTAATCTTTTCTTCACGTTTTATTTCATTAAGTTGGACTTTGACCTCTGATATCCCTTCTTCTGCTTGAACAATTCGAGTGTTTAAACCTGTGCATACTTCTCGGAGTTCCTGTATTGTATTCTTCAGTTCCATTAATTCACTCATACTCCTCTCTAAGTTGTCTATTCTCAATAGGATTTCATCAGACCTTTTTTCAAAGTTCCTAGTTTCTTTACATTGGGCTACAACATGATCTTTTAACTCACCGAAGTTTGTTATTATCCATTCCTTGAAGAGTGATTCTGTCATCAGGATGCGCTCTTTCTCCATCAAGCCTTGTTCCATTGTTGATGTGGAACTGTGATCCTCTGTAGAGGGAGAGGCATTCTGACTTTGAGTATTCTCAGCTTTTTTTATGCTGGTTTCTTCCCGTCATTGTAAATTTATCCTCCTGTCGTCTTTGAAATAACCAACTTTCAGATTAGGTCTCTTGAGTGGGCGTCCAGGTTGTTAGTTCCCAGGGCCAGAGCAGCGGCGTTAAAACTGATGGTGCTTTTCTGCCCAAGATTCTCCTGTCTGGCTTCCTTCTTGTGTCCGTAGTAGGCGACTCTGCCTTCCCGGGGCTCCAAACCTCGGTCAGAAGGGAAACCGGTCCTGTTTACTCTGTGCCGAGCGCTGCCGCACCGAGGTGCCGTCACAGCCGCTGCGCGGGGCTCTGGTGTCGTGCGGGGGGCCCGTGCCGGTCCTCCGAACCTGTTTACTCTGCTCCGAGAGCTGCCGCACCAAGGTGCCAGTGGAACCGCTGTGCCGGCCACGAGAGTCGCGCTGGCCACCCGTGTGTTTCCTCCACTGGGGGATCTTCTGCTCCGTGAGCGACCAGAATTTGTCTGAAAGTGTGGCGTCCTCTAGTTCTCCGCGCCTTCCCTGAGAGCTGCAATCCCGGGATGTTAGCGATCGGCCATCTTGGATCCGAGTTTTATATTTTTTATAGAGATGGGGTTCCGCCATGTTGTCTAGGCTGGTCTGGAACTCCTGGGCTCAAGCAATCTGCCCACCTCAGCATCCCAGAGTGCTGGGATTACAGGTGTGAGCCACTGCTCCTGGCCTCCACTTAATTTCTTTAAGCTTTCTAGGCCACTGAACCTGTACTAACTTGAACTTCTGACTTGCTTAGATGTGTATAATTTTAGAAGATTGATCTCATAAAAATGTTGCCTATTTTCTTAATTTATTGTTCACTTGTGAATTTACAGCCACACCCACCTATATTGAGGAGGAGGATGTTAATAATTACTCTATCCATGATGTGGTGATGCCCTTGCCTGGTTTCGATGTTATCTACCCAAAGCATAAAAGTAAGTTCCCTGTATGGGGAAAATAGTTAAACCAAGTTTAACATAATGAAGCTACTATATCAAACATATATAAACTTGAGTTATTTATGACAGTCTCCCAGAAAGGGATGTATTCACATGGATAATTTAAATTAAGAAACTCTACCTCCAAATCTAAAATAAAAGTTGAAATTATAAAATAAAATAAATAGGCCAGGCATGGTGGCTCACACCTGTAATCCCAGGACTTTGGGAAGCTGAGATGGATGGATCACTTGAGCTCTGGAGTTCGAGACCAGCCTGATCAACCTGGCAAAACCCCGTCTCTACTGAAAATACAAAAATTAGCTGGGCCTGGAGGTGCACACCTGTGGTCCCAGCTGTTTCGGAGGCTGAGGTGGGAAGATGGCTAGAGCCCAGGAAGCATGGGTTGTGGTGAGCTGAAATCACGCCACTGCACTCCAGCCTGAGCAACAGAGCAAGACTCTGTCTCAAAAAAAAAAAAAAAAAAAAAGCAGGGGCGGGGGGATTTGTTTGGGGAATTGACCCACTTGATTGTGGAGTCGAGAAGTCCCACAACAGGCCCTCTGCAAATGGGAGAACTGGGAAAGCCAGTAGCATGGTTTAGTCCAAGTGTGAAGGCCTCAGAACAAGGGAAGCCAATGATAGAACTCTCAGTTGTAGGCCAAAGACTGAGAACTTGGGGAATCACTGGTATAAGTCCCAGAGTCCATAGGTCAGAGAACCTGGAGTTGACATCCAGAGACAGGTGAAGAAGGGCATTTGGCTCTGGGAAGGAGAGGGAGATAATTCACCGTTCCCCTGCCTTTATGTTCTATCCAGGCCCCGAGACAACTGGAGGTGTGCACCCACCTTGAGGGCAGATCTTCTCCACTCTGCCTACCAATTCACATGCGAGTCTCATCTAGAAGCACCCTCACCGACACACCTGGCATAGTCCGGTCACTCTAATCAAATGCCTAGATTTCCCTCTCAGAAGAAGGCTGAGCTCAGTGCTTACTGAAACAGTGAAAATAAATTGTTTTACTAGCTGCTGGAGTATTCCTTACCCCTGTCAAGTTGACACCCAAAATCAACAATCATACGAAAGAAAACATTTTCGTCTTCTCTCTTAAACCTTTTGGGATCAGGAACTTTGCTGGTACCAGTGAGAACATAAATTCAGCAAAGCCTTTGACAAAGCCATCCATGAAAACCTTGTAGCCAAGATGGCCATTTGTAGACTGGGTGGGTGATATATCAGGTTTCTGGATATGTAACACATGCATACCTGGTATCTGACAGTGCTTGATTTAGGGATCCCTGTTGTCCTTAGTGTGTATGTTAAGGACCCTGTTCTAGCCAATATTTTTTATGAGTAACTTAAAGAAATGTGCTTGTTGGCCGGGCTTGGTGGCTCAAGCCTGTAATCCCAGCACTTTGGGAGTCCGAGGTGGATGGATCACAAGGTCAAGAGATCGAGACCATCCTGGTCAACATGGTGAAACCCCATCTCTATTAAAAATACAAAAAAAATTGGCTGGGCATGGTGGCGCATGCCTGCAATGCCAGCCACTCAGGAGGCTGAGGCAGGAGAATTGCCTGAACCCAGGAGGCGGAGGTTGCAGTGAGCCGAGATCGTGCCATTGTACTCCAGCCTGGGTAACAAGAGCGAAACTTTGTCTCAAAAAAAAAAAAAAGAAAAAAAAGAAATTTTCTTATTATATTTGCATATTGTACAAAATAGTTAATTATATGAAAAATGTGTTTAAGAATTGCATAATATATTGCAGTATTAATTTTTAAAACTCAATTTCATTGTATTTGCATTTATCCATCCAATATGTATGACACCTATTCAATGTCTTGTATTAGTTACTGAATAAGTAGAAGGCTAGCAGAGTTGTAATAAGAGGGGCAAGTTTGCAATAAATAATTTAGTAAGATGTTAAAAAAAAAACTGCAGAAGGCATTTAATAGGAATAAATGTAAATTCCCACATTTATTCCCAGTGACCAAATGCTAATAGAAAAGGCCCCCCAGTTTGATAGTAGTTTGTATAAAAAGTTTAAAATGTCTGGCATTTTTGTTGTATATGAACCTGTTATCCTGGGTCAGATAAAAGGTTTGATGGGATATACAGAAATGTTAAAGGAGGGACAGTGGCAGGAAGCATCATTTGGTGTAGAGAAGATATGGCTGAAAGATTCAGTACTTCTGACCATATGTGAAAGAGGACAGTTAATCCACTGTGTTCCAAAGCAGTAAACACAAGTTATAAGAAAATGGATTTCAGCTTGGAATAGGAAGAACTTTCTAATAATTGCATGCCTCACAAAGAAGTATTTCCCAAGCAAAGGCTGGAAAACCGTCTCTCTTGAGTGTTTTTATAAAAAAGACTCTACATCAGGTGCGCGGGTGAGCCAGATGGTTTTCCAAGGTCTCTTATTTTTATACATTTATTTATAACTATCTCTTCCACAGAGAGTTTGAAGCCTCTGTGTATAGTGTCTTCCAACTCTCAGCCCCTATAAAATGTAGTATAGCAACTTCGGATAAAATGGCCTTTTGTAGTTGGCTTGGGAAGCTTACACCACAGGTACCCTGACTGGTTGCAAAAATAACTTATGAATTGGCCAAACCAAAGCTGAATACACCCTCTAGTCCTAGTTACTAAGTCACTAAATATTGATTCCAGGGAACAGATTTTGGATTATAAATTAAGGTGACTTATTAGGGCAATCTCACTGAGTTTACATGTTACTCTGTTTGTAATCTAGTTCAAGATAACTTGGATGACAGGCTGCATTTCAGCTAACTTTTTGTATTTTATATTAGTTCAAGAAGCCTACAGGGAAATGCTCACAGCTGACAATCTTGATATTGACAACATGAGACACAAAATCCGAGATTATTCCTTGTCAGGGGCCTACCGAAAGATCATTATTCGTCCTCAGAATGTTAGCTGGTGAGTAATCAATCTTGAATGAAATAGAACTGAATTACTATATAAGTTGTAAACTCTTGCTTCACCTATATAGTCATGTACCGCACAAATAATTTTCAGTCAGTGACAGACTGCATATATGATGGTGGTCTTGTAAGATTATAAAACCATATTTTTACTTACCTTTTTTTTTTCTTTTTTTTGAGATGGAGTTTCACTCTTGTTACCCAGGCTGGGGTGCAATGGCGCTATCTTGGCTCGCTTCCACCTCCCAGGTTCAAATGATTCTCCTGCCTCAGCCTCCAGAGTAGCTGAGTTTATAGGCACCATGCCACCACACCCAGATAATTTTTGTATTTTTAGTAGAGACAGGGTTTCACCATATTGGCCAGGCTGGTCTCAAACTCCTGCCTCGGCCTCCCAAAGTGCTGGGTTTACAGGCTTGAGCCACCATACTCAGCCTTACCTGTTTTCTTTTCCTTTCTTTTTAATAAAGACAAGAATGCAGTGCCATAATCATGGCTTACTGCAGCCTCAAATTCCTTGGCTCAAGCAGGATTACGGGCGTGAACTACAATGCCCAGCCTGTGCCTTTTCTCTGTTTAGATGCACAAGTACTTACCATTGTGTTACAGTTGCTTTCAGTATTCAGTACAGTAACATGCTGTACATGTTTGTAGTCTAGGAGCAATAGGCTATACTCTATAACCATGGTGTGTAGTAGGCTATACCATCTGTGTTTGTGTAAGTACATTCTTTGATGTTCACGTGGTGATGAAATTGCCTGACAAGAGTTAGAACATGTCCCTGTTGTTAAGCAGTGCATGACTGTATTTTTCAGTGCTTAGAACCCAGCATGTCAGTGTTTCATAAGTGTTACTTATTATTGTTATTATTACTGTTGTTACTGCTTCTGCTACTATGTATTTCTCAAGTCATCAAGAAGTAAATGACAGTAAGCTGAGCATAGTGGCTCATAAGTAATCCCAGAGACTGAGAGGCTGAAGTGGGAGGATTGCTGGAGGTCAGGTATTTGAGATGAGGGTGGGCAACATAGCGAGACCCTGTCTCTAAAAAAAGAAAAATAAGGAAGCTGTTTTGAATGTAAACAGTTACAGAAAGTGAATTCATTTACATTTTGTTGGCTTCACTGAATTATTGAAGGAATTTGTACAGAGTGAACTTTTTTCCTATTTCTGAAAACTTTAGATTTGTGTAAAGAGCTATCCCTGAGCAAATTACCTTACTTAGAATTAGCTGTGAGTTCCAAACACTGCTCTGGTTGTTTTAACGTCATATTTCCAGAGAGGAAAAGATTACTTGATTAGTTCATTTAAAAATATTTATGGCCGGTCGTGGTGGCTCCCGTCTGTAATCCCAGCACTTTGGGAGGCCAAGGCAAGAGGATCACTGAGGTCGCGAGTTCGAGACCAGCCTGACCAACATGGAAAAACCCTGCTTCTACTAAAAATACAAAAGTAGCCCAGCATGGTGGCGCATGCCTGTAATCCTAGCTACTTGGGAGGCTTAGGCAGGAGAATCGCTTGAGCCTGGGAGGCGGAGGTTGCCATGAGCCAAGATCGAGCCTGGGAAACAAGAGTGAAACTCTATCTCAAAAAAAAAAAAAAAAAAATTTTATGGCAAGGCCGAGGTGGAAGGATCACTTGAGCCCAGGAGCTTGAAACTTGCCTCTGCAACATAGCAGGACTGTCTCTACAACAAAATACAAAAATTAGCCAGGTGTGATGGTGTTTGGGAGGCCAATGTAGGAAGATTGCTTGAACCTGGAAGATAGAAGCTGCAGTGAGCTGTGATCACACCACTGCCGTCCAGCCTGGGTGACAAAACGAAACTGTCTCAAAAACAAATTTGAATAACTAGTATTACCTAAAGCTTTATCTGATAATTTTAAAATGAAATCCTGAACTAGTTGTTTATTCCCAGGAAATTCTTTCATTCCCTATTTGCTTCTCTCTTCCATCTTTCTTTCCTCCTCTTCTCTGGATTATGGCAAGAGGTCCACATGGTTGGACCTTGTCTTCCCCACTCCAGAGAACTGTTCTTCCTTAGTAACAAGATGTTGTTGGTTGTGGCACCCACTCTGGAGAAAATGTAAATGTCATAATTGATTTGGTCACAACAGTGCAAAGTGAAATTTACTACTTGTCAACTTCATTTAAAAAGAACTGTCAATTGTACATTTTAAAAAATTTAATTGCTAATATAAAGAGATGGGGTTTCACCATGTTACCCAGGCTGGTCTCGAACTCATGGGCTTAGTCAGTCATCCCACCTCAGCTTCCCAAAGTGTTAAGATTAGAGACATGAGCCACTAAACCTGGCCCCAGTTGTGTGTTTTTAAATAATTAATAGAATATAATTGGATTGAGTCAGGCATATTGGCTCATACGTGTAATCCCAGCACTTTGGGAGACTGTGGCAAGCAGATCACCTGAGGCCAGGAGTTTGAGACCCCCCCGGCCAACATGGCAAAACCCCATCTCTACTAAAAATATAAAAATTAGCTGGGTGTGGTGACAGGCGCCTGTAATCCCAGCTGCTAGGGAGGCTGAGGCATGAGAATTGCTTGAACCCAGGAGCCAGAGGTTATGGTTAACCAGGATTATGCCACTGCACTCCAGCCTCGGCAACAGAGTGAGACTTCATCTCAAAAAAAAAAATTATATATATGTATGCAAAACTTAATGTATAAAATCTGGCCCTGCTCTTGTTATTCAGGAGTCCTAACTGTAATTATTTACAGTAAATTATGTGTTTTTCTTCCTAAACAAATGATGACGAGTGGCTTAGTATGAAAGTTCACATTCATACTTACCTTTATTCATTTTGAAGGGAAGTTGTTGCATATGATGATCCCAAAATTCCACTTTTCAACACAGATGTGGACAACCTAGAAGGGAAGCCACCACCAGTTTTTGCTTCTGGTAAGTTTACTCAGTCATCAGCCCTGTGTCGACTTTGAAATATTTTCTTAAACAAAAACTTAATTTTTTTTTAAAACTGCTCTTACAGCCACTACCAGCACCCATGATTTCATTGTGTTTTATGACCTTAGTTTCATGATTATGGCTGGAGGTTAGTAAATCAAACCGGTAAATCCTCCTGAAAATGAATGAGTGTTACAGATGATTGTGATATTAGGTGATGGAGTATTTCACCCCAACACCCACAGGGAGTTACCAAAGATGAGTGAAAATTCAGGAAGAATCTAAAAAATTGGTGGCAGGTCATGGTGGCTCACACCTATAATCCCAGCACTTTGGAAGGCCAAGGCAAGTGGATCACTTGAGGTCAGGAGTTCCAGACCAGCCTGGCCATGTGGCAAAACTCTGTCTCTACTAAAAATACAAAAAAAAAAAAAAAAAAATTAGCCAGATGTGGTGGTGCATGCCTGTAATCCCAGCTATTTGGGAGGCTGAGGCAGGAGAATCACCTGAACCTGGGAGATAGAAGTTATAATAAGCCAAGATCGCTCCACTGCACTCCAGCCTGGGTGACAGAGTGAGACTCTGTCTCAAAAAAAAAAAAAATTAAATTGGCATTCTCATCATTGAATTCTTGTTGCCATTCCTTTTTCTGTTCTTTCTTCCCAGGCCATAATTTTTTATTATTATTTTTTAACTTTACATGCATTTCTCTCTTGTGCTCTTCTGTCATCTGCCCTTTTGTGAAAGCTCCTGGGTAGAATTTCCATAACTGTTCAGCAGGTTCACACTCACAGATCTTTTACTTACATGGTCTCATTCTCGGAGGCCTCTTGGGAAACAGAGTCTAAAGAAAGGAGCACAGTTCTTTGTATTTGCGTAGAGATTATGTGACACTCTCTGGTCTTTCTGCAGTTGCCTTCATTTTCTGACTGTTTTCTTCTTTCTTGCCTGGCAGAAGGCAAATACAGGGCTTTGAAAATGGATTTTTCTCTACCCCCTTCTACATATGCCACCATGGCCATTCGAGAAGTGCTAAAAATGGATACCAGTATCAAGAACCAGACACAGCTGAATACCACCTGGCTTCGCTGAGCAGTACCTTGTCCACAGATCAGCAAATGCACACAAGTGTTTGCTTCCTGGCTCCCTGTGCATTTCTTAGTTCAGACTCATATGGATTTCAAATCTTTGTAATAAAAAATTATTTGTATTTTTTAAAGTTTTTATTAGCCTAAAGAAATAATTTGCAATATTTGTACATGTACACAAATCCTGAGGTTCTTAATTTTAGCTCAGAATATAAATTGGTCAAAATATACTTCAGGTGCTTAAATCAGTGAGATGTCAGCTTTACAATAATAAAAAAAGGACTTTGGTTTAAAGAATCAGGTTTAGGTTTTGCTGCATTCTCAAAAGACAGCAGGAGTTTTTGACACATCTGTGATGGAGTATACAACCATACGTTTTAAGAGCAATGCAACAAAACAAATCTGGACTGTGGGTAAATAATTTGATAGCTGCCACCCACGAATATTAATACAGTACTCATGCTGATTTAAATGATAATCAAACATCTACAGACTTGTAAACAGTGATCATCATTATCCTGCTTGTGTACAAGATTCAGGCAAGCATTAAAGACTTTTTAGTTGCAGTGGCTTTTGCATATATTATCAATGCCTTGCAGGAAAGTTGCATTGATAGAACCTTTTTCTTCTATCCTTTTTTTTTTTTCCCCCAAGACAGAGTCTCACTCCATAGTGTAGGTTGGATTGCAGTGTAGTGTAATTCTGCAATCCTCGATTCTGGCTCACTGCAACCTAGTCCTCCCAGGCTCAAGTGACTCTCCCACCTCAGCCTCCCGAGTAGCTGGGAGTACAGGTGCACACCACGACGCCTAGCTGATTTTTGTCTTTTTTTGTAGAGACAGTTTTGCCATGTTGCAGAGGCTAACTCCTGGGATTACCAGTGTAAGTCACTGAGACAGCCGGGTTTTTTTTCTTTATGTAATCGTGTATAGCTGTTTTTATTAGTGAAGGTCTAATTTTTACCCTAGGTGCCTTTTATGTTCAGAACTCTTTCCACTGGACTGGTATTTGCTATAAAAATAAATAATGGTAGAGAATAAAACTATAAAAATGTACAAGAGCATCTATCAGTAGCATTTGTTTACCCTTTGTCACCAGTGGCTTTGGTATTTCCATGTCTGACACTGCATAAACTTTTCTCTGGTATGAAAGGATAGATACGCCTTTCTAAAGTTGTGTATCATAATTGTATCAATTTTTATTTTCTATGATTTCTAGAAACAAATATAATAAATATTTTTAAAATCTCCTTTCTACTGGTTATGTAAATAAGTCAAATAAATATATTAAATGAGTGCAGATAAGAATCTTGACCTTGACTAAAGGTAAGGAACTAAATGAAATGAGGAATCCTCATCAGAAATGAAGTTGACACCAAAATGTCTTGTGATCAGCGGTGAAGTATGAGGATAATGAGTCAAATGCTATGCTTAATTGAGAGTATTGGACTGGACTCCAGGTTATTCTTACATTGGAATCACTCACTCATCTTCCAGTGTGCTTTCTGGAATAGAAAAGAAATAGGAAAGAGCTACCATACCAGGAGCATGGAGTGTGAATGACATTTGTCTTGTATCTGGTAGTAGAAATGAGATTGAGGACTGTTTCTGTTTTGTTTTGTTTGTTTTTTGTTTTGAGACAGAGTTTTGCTCTGTTGCCCAGGCTAGAGGGCAATGGCACAATCTCAGCTCACTGTAAACTCTGCCTCCTGGGCTCAAGCAATTCTCCTGCTTCCACCTCCCGAGGAGCTGAGACTACAGACATGCACCACCATGCTTGGCTATTTTGTATTTTTAGTAGAGACAGGGTTTCACCATGTTGTCAAGGCTGGTCATGAACTCCTGACCTCAGGAGATGCACCCACCTCAGCCTCCCAAAGTGCTGGGGTTACAGATGGGAGCCGCTGTGCCTGGCAGTGAACTGTTTCTCAACACTTTTGTTTTAATGACATCCACCACCACCACATTGCTGAGTCTTAAAAAAGATTGGACACGGATCCGAGTCATGACACCAAATTAAAAAAAAAAAATTGGACATATCATACATTATCCTTTTTTTTTTGAGATAAAGTGTTGCTCTGTCACCCAGGCTGGAGTGCAGTGGTGTGATCTTGGCTGACTGCAACCTCCCCCTACCAGGTTCAAGTGATTCTTGTGCCTCAGCCTCCTGAGTAGCTAGGATTACAAGCACCGGCTGCCACTCCTGGCTTATTTTGTATTTTTAGCAGAGGCAGGGTTTTGCTATGTTGGCTAGGCTTGTCTCCAACTCCTGTCCTCAAATGATTGGCCCACCACTGCCTCCAAAGTACTGGGGTTATGGATGTGAGTCACCATTCCCAGCCCACTGAACTATTCTTTTAGCTAGCTAGCTTTGAAAGAATATTTTGTCCTAGATCAGGCATGGTGGCTCACATCTGTAATCCCAGGACTACGAGACCGATGTGGGAGGACTGCCTGAGCACAGGAGTTCGAGACCAGCCTGGGTAACATAGTGAGACCCTGTCTCAAAAAATATATATATACATATATGTATATTTTGTCTTACAAAAGCTAAACATGTATTAAGTGTATAGTAGTCCTGTCTGTAACTTCCTCTCCTTCATCTGACTGAAAATTATTTATAAAGGGACCTAGGTCTTATGTTGGCAATTGCATTCAGCAGTTCTGCATTTACAGGTTGAGTATCCCTTATCCAAAATGCTTGGGACTAGAACTGTTTTGGATTTTGGATTTTTTCTTTTAATTTGCACTTCAACTTACTGGTTGAAATCCAAAAATCCAGAATGCTCCAATGGGCAATTTTGGATTTTGGATTTTCAGATTTGGGATGCTCAACCAGTATAAATTTGCATTCCAAAACAAAAGTGAGGCTAAACTTGTACTTTCTTCATCTGGAAACACTTATGGTTCCATATGATAAGTTAATTTTCCTGGCTGTGTTAGCTATTACCAGTTCGTATGTGTTTCTTCATAAACACCAGTGGATAAATAAGTGATTCAAGGTGATTCTTCAAGTTGTTTTGAGACTCAGGGACACACCACCTAACTAGGGACTTAACCTGAAATAATTACCTTAGCCTAGAATTCAGATCATTTTTTGTTGTTCACAAATGGAGGAAGTTTCTCTTAGGCAAATTTACAAAGCCTGAAAGCAACCTCATCCTCCACATAGAAGTATCATTGCTTCCTAAAGTTTTGCCTAAAAGAAATAATAAAGGATCATTATTTTTATTTTAATGTAAAACCAACACTATTCCATAATGGCAAAGAGAGCTAAATAATCAAGATTGTTCTTTAAAATGTTTTTCTTCATGGTTTCATGTTGTAGATAATAACCAGACTGCTATTGTACTATAAAAAAAAAAATCCTGATTGATTCCTGAATCTTCATGGTTTCATGTTGTAGGTAATAACTAGACAGCCATTATACCAGTTTTAAATCAAAAAAATTGGTAACAGCTGCAATAGTACAGCAATACTTAAAACTTCTCCAGTTGCTCTAGGCTGCATGAATTAACACAAACTGATATTTGCACTGGAATGCATATTGTGGTCAATTTGCACTTAAAAAATAAGAATCTGTGTGTATAATACAAAATAGAACACATATAAATGTTTTATAGCCACCCATGCACACTGATGACTGACGTGCATGTGCCTTTTTGAAACCAAAGCAGATCTGGAGTGTACCATGTAGTTTTTTATTTCAGACATACGAAGAAATAAAACCGCACTGGAAGAACCACAAAGCTGAGTATGGCCAGCTTCTCATCTTTGTAAATTCGAAAGCATTTGCCTACTCAGCAAAGGATAACTTTAAGGCTTTCTTTGTTCAGTGAAATCTGCTTCTCTCACTTTGTGTAGGGTAGAACTTAGTTTTGGATCATGAATACTTTGGAAAATCTGAGAGGAAGTATAGACCTTGCTTTCAGGAAAAGTAAAGCGGGAAAGTGTGTATCCATATATGTGCGTGTTACAAATTCATGCAAACTTTTTATATAGTTTTAGGGGCTGCAGTGTATTCAATAAGACCCCCTACTCTAGGTAAGTGCTTGCCAGACTTTAATGTACGTAAGAGTCACCTGGTGATCTTAAACTGCAGGATGTATTTCAGGAAGTCCAGGTAGCATCTGAAATACTGCATTTCTAACCAACTCCCAGAGGGTACATGAGCCGCTGGTACACACGAAGCAGCCAGATTCCAGACCTGTACTGGCCAACACAGTGGCCACTAGCCATGTGGCTACTTAAACTTGACTTAAGCTTCTCAGTCACAGTTTCAATGGCCCCATAGCCAAATGTGTGACTAGTAAATCAGTCACCCTAGATACAAAGGAGAGTCTATATTGATCAGATGTGATACTGTTGCCGTCCAAGAGTGGTGGCTCATGCCTGTAATCCCAACACTTTGGGAGGCCAAGGCAGGCGGATCACCTGACATCACGAATTTGAGAGCAGCCTGACCAACGTGGTGAAACCCCATCTCTATTGAAAATAGAAAATAGCTAGGCATGGTGGCACATGCCTGTAATCCCAGCTACTCGGAAGGCTAAGGCAGGAGAATTGCTTGAACCCAGGAGGTAAAAGTTGCAGAGAGCCAAGATCACACCATTGCATCCAACCTGGGCAACAGAGTGAGACTCTAGCTCAAAAAAAAAAAAAGATACAATACAACCGCAAATGTTGCAGAATTTCTGCTCCTTAGTTCAGCTATATACAGGTTCTTGTGTCATTACCAGAAAAATTAGGCATGCAGACACTGAAGGATGAGGGGAACCGAATTTATTGGGCAAAAAAGGAAAAAAACTCTCAGCAAAGTGAGAGGGATTTCTGCTAACAGGCCCCCTCCTCACAGATTGATTCCAGGCCACACAGGCTCCTTCCCCAAGCAAGGAGCACGAACTTCGTGGCTCCACCCTGTTGTCCCAGTGCTGAGGCTGGGGCTCATATTGACAATCTAAGATTTTACACTTAGAGCTTCCCTCAAGCTCGCTTCCATGCTTCTTATTTTTGGGCTTCCTTCAGGATTACTAATAATTCTTTTTTATTTGTTTGAGATGGAGTCTCACTCTGTGTCACCCAGGCTGGAGTGTAGTGGCGGGATCTCGGCTCACTACAACCCTCACCTCCTGGGTTCAAACAGTCCTCTCACCTCAGCCTCCCTAGTAGCTGGGACCACAAGCGCGTGTCACCACACCCGACTAGTGTTTTTGTATTATTGGTAGAGAAGGAGTTTCTCCATGTTGGCCGCGATGGTCTCAAACTCCTGGGTTCAAGTGATTCACCCGTCTCAGCCTCCCGAAGTGCTGGGATTACAGGCATGGATAACTGCACCCTGCCTTTTCTTTCTTTTCTACCCTTCTCCAAAAGTTTTGTCAAAGCATTCTTAAGGCACTGTGTGGCCTTACAACTCTGTACATGAAATTTATCCTCCACCCCCAATAAAGTCATAATTGTTGTAATTTAAAACTCCTTGGCTCTAGTTTCTTATGAAAGCAGCAGCAGCTTCAAACGGCAGGAATCTCTAGACAGTCCATATTACTGTGTTGTCCTCTGGGTATACTGTGTTGATTTTCTGTTATGGCTTATCCAGCTGTGCTAGACTCCTGGAAAGTACCCAGTATATAAAAAGAGATGACAACAGGAAATCATGATGGGAGACATTATTCAAAGCCTCTGTCTCCTTATGCATATTTGCAGTTCCCTCAAAAGCTCTACATGAATCTGTAGAGCAGCTCTGTCCAATACAAAATATAATGTGAGCCATGTATATATAATTGAAATTTTCTAATAGCCTTATTAAGAAAATGAAAAGAAACAAGTAAAATTAATGATGTAATTTCTATAAAGGAATGTATCCAAAATATCATTTCAACTCAATATTTTACATTCTTTTTTTTTGTACTGTCTTAAAAAGCCAGTGTGTATTTTACACTTAAAATATCTATCGATTTGAGGCCGGGCATGGTGGCTCAAGCCTGTAATCCCAGCACTTTGGGAGGACAAGGCAGGTGGATCATGAGGTCAAGAGATCGAGACCATCCTGGCCAACATGGTGAAACCCCGTCTCTACTAAAGATACAAAAAATTAGCTGGGCATGGTGGCGCGTGCCTGTAATCCCAGCTACTCAGGAGGCTGGGGCAGGAGAATTGCCTGAACCCAGGAGGCGGAGGTTGTGGTGAGCCGAGATCGCGCCATTGCACTCCAGCCTGGATAACGAGCGAAACTCCATCTCAAAAAAGAACAAGA